TTATGGAGTTTTAGAAATGGAGGTCCATCTAAACACACTTCACTTATTTAATTTGTGTTAGGGCTGGCTAGACTTTTCTTCCTCTTCTGAGGCTGCTGGGTCTTTCACATCACATCAGCTGCAAGGCTTACTGCCTCACTGCCTCCCCCAACGCCCCTATTCAACCACTCTTGGATTCCCTGGGGCCACCTGCATAAAAACATACGCCTCTCAATAATGGAAATTTTATTCTAAATGCTTATTTTAGACTGAGAAAAATCTACTCTCTCATGCCTCTATTGCTGATACGTCTGCTCTGATCTATGGTTTTTGCACAGCTGAAGGGTCATGCTGTCCCTCCCTCCGCCTTCAAGCAGGACTGCCCGCCTCCATTTCTGAGAGCTTGTCTTATCTCCAAAGCACCTAGTGGAGGCCTGGGGGGTGTTATGATGGAAGAAGGGGGATGCCTGTGGTCACTGTGCAAAGAGGCATGTGCCCTGCCACCGAGGATCCTCAACCAGCAAACATTCGGAGTCAGGGACAATGGTTCCCAGAAGGCCACCTGGAGCTGAAGGAAGATGTTGTAGCCTCTATATCGCCCCTATTTCTGAGTCTCCTAAGGTTTCTCAAGCTATCAGATGCCTCCTGTCTCTAATTTCCTCAGGATCAGTGGCTTGAGCTTTGGCTATGAGCCTGAGCCCTGGGCTGAGTGCTGGGTCCCCTGGAAAACGATTTTCTTTTTTCCTCTGCTCTTTCCCGGGGGACTCTCCCTGCCTCATACTCATATTTCTACTGAGAATGAGCAGTCTTAGTTGTGCTGCAGAGACAGAGAGCTGACACATGAGTCTAGACAAATTTGTAGACAAATTTGTGTACAAATTTGTGTGGGCTTTGGGTGGTCAGAGTCTACTAGAGACTAATCTAATATCTGACTTGGTGCCATGGCAATCTTCTTCCCCCCTCTGTCTTGCTACAGTTTAGTCACTAGCGACATGTAAGCCATGGACCAGGATGGGGCAGGGCACTTGAATTCTCACCACCGATTCCCCAGTGATTTTCCACATAGCCTGCAAGCCATCTCCCACCTCCTGTGCCCCGTTGCTTCACCAGTGAAATGGATGTTTGTTGCACCTACTTTTCCCAGGCATGTGAAGGCCAGTTGGCTATCAGACAATCACGTGCTTTGAAAGGTCTCTGATCTCTGTGAGGGAATTCTTGAGCAATTGAGGTGCTATCGTGCCATCCACAGCCCTGAGGATGCGGATGATACCGGAACCAACCTGGCCAAATCTGAATGAGGAAAACCAATCACAGACTTGACAAAGAAAATAGACCTCAGATGTGAGGAGATAAGACAGTTAGATTTACTTCCTCTTTTCTAATTTGAGAGGTTTCATTTTAAAGAAAATCAGTGTTGAGGTTGCAGGAGACCTAAACACAGTCAACATGAAGCTGGGCTCTGTCTTCACAGCCTGGACCCTCCAGCTTTCCCCTGCTATGCTCTGGGCAGCCCAGATGTTATTGGGTAAGTAAAATGTTTGAATATTGGTGTGGGAATGGAGCTACGTCTGGCTTTTGGGAAAAGACCCAAAAGAAAGAAAAGTGGACTAACTTGGCCCTCCAGAGAAGCAGTGCTCAGGTGGGATAGGAAGGGTAGGTATAAGAGAGTTTGGTGTGCAGGACTGAATGGCTCGTTTTGAATATAAAAATCATCAAGCCTTTTCTGTCCTAAAAGTCCCATCTGACTATGGTGCCTTCTCTAGCTGCAATCTCAAATCTTACCTTTCATTTCTGAGACAAGTTTCTTGAAAGAGTAGTCTACACTTGCTATCTCCACTTCCTCACTTCTCACTCACTCCTCACTGCTTACAATCTGGCTTCCACCAGAACTGGTTTCACCTAGGGCTCAATGATCCCCGTATTGACTGGTCATCACACTCTTTTTAGTTCTTATCCTGCTGGACTTCTCTGCTGCATTGTGTTCAGTTGATCACTTATTCTTTCTTGCATTCTCTACTCCCCTGGCCTCCACGGCACCATTTTCTCCTTGTACTACATGTACTTCTCTTGGTGCCTTGGTAGCTTCTCTTCTTTTCCCTTTAAACACTAGCGTTCTCTATAGTTATAGCCTTGCCTTTCTACTTGTCTTTCTTTACACGATTTCTTTCATAAGCTCATTTGTCTGTATAATTTTTGCCACTACAACTGTATAGAGTCCCAAATCATATCCCCAACCTGAATCATGCTTTTGAGCTTCACACTCAAATACCAAGCTTCACACAAGACATATATACCTGCACCTCTCACAGATCTCTCAGCACCATGTGACCAGAGATGAACTCATCCGTTCTCCTGGCTTCTACCTCTTTTAAGTCGTCTTCTGCTATTTCTGATCTCAGCTAATGGTACAAGCAACCACCCCAACATCCAGGCCTGAAACCTCAGATACAACACAGACTCTTTCTTCTCCTTCATTCTCTACATCTAATTAATCATCAAGTTTGGCAAATTGTACTTCCTAAATTGTTCTTAGAAATAGCCCCTTTCCTGAAACATCACTAATGTCCTAGGACAAGCTCTTATCATCTGTGACTTTGTCCAACAGTTTCCTAATGGATAATCTACTTGTCCCAGCCTTGTGTTCTTGAAATGAATTCTGCACTCTGCAGCCAGAGTGATTTCTAAAATTCAAGTTTACCAGCCCAAGTTCCTTATCATGGCACACAAGGCCCACCACAACCTGGCACCTATTAACCTCTTCAGCCTCTACTCCCACCCTCTGAGCCTTGCAATTGATGCTGTAATAAATCCCAATCAGCTTGTTTTTCCACATTCACACACCAGACTCTTACCTGTCTCCAAGGCTTTGCTTATGCTATTGTTTCCACCTGAAATGAGCTCCCTCCATGGTTCCCTCTTCCCCTTCCCCCGTACAAACTTCTAGGCATCCCTGAAGACTCAGCTCAGTTGGCATCTTCTCCACGAAGCTTTCCTTGAACCCTCTTTTCTGTTTCAGTGGCTACCTATGATACCTTTTTCTTATTATTTTCCTACTCATGCTGAAATAATATCTTCATATACCTGTGTATATGAAGGGGTAGGGACAATGGTTTTTGGATTTTGTTTTGTGGCGAGAACTGCAGAGTTGGTATCAGATAGTCTGGTTTCAAGCTCCTCCTCTATTTACCAGCTCTGTGTCACTTTGGAAAGTCACTTTTTATGCCTCTGATTCAGTTTTCTCATTTGTAATAATTGTGAGAGTAATGATACCTACCACATAAGGTTTACTGAGTGAAAGTGCCAAGTAGCCCAACAAGATTTTATTTTTAAAAAGGAAAAAAGGAGAGGAGGCTCAGTTCAGTTGAGCGACGGTGGAGGAACTGAAAAGAGGTAGCAGAGTAGCAGAGGGAGCTGAGAGAGGATGAAGAGAAAGCACCTGGTCCTGATATGATGACAATTAGGAAGTAGAGACAGACCTTGGTAAAGGACATTACAAAGTGAAGAGCACTGGGCCGTTGGGTGAGGAAGAGAACAAAACCGAGTGGGACAGGAAAGGATGCGGTGAAGAAGTGAGCACAGGAGAATGGCCTGTGGCTGGAAGGTGGGGAGAGGGATTGGGGACAAGGAACAGTCACAGAGGTGGGAGAGAAGGCACTTACCTTGCCTGGGGCAACCACGGAGGTAAGAGATGGGTTGGAGAGATGCAGTGAGAATCCACAACTCTAAGTTTCAACCTGGAGGCAGAGAATTGTTCCACAGTTCCCAGTACGAACTGGGAGTAGGGGGTCAGGGGTAGAGGGAAAGACAGAGAAAGGGCTCTGCCATTGCTAGGGAAATCTCAAGGGCAGAGGGCATGAAGATGATGGCTGGAAAGTGAAGACCCGCAAGGGGGAGCAAGGAAGGAGGAGAGACACAGCAAGGCAGTGAAAACTCTTGGTAAACATATTCAAGGCTGAAGAGCCAAGTGAATTTTGGGAAAATGAGAATGAGGAAGAAGGTCCCCAAGGAAGGTCTGAGGACCAAAGTAAACCACATCTGCACAGTGAAGTAGAAAGAGCACTGATTTTGGACTCAGACACACCTGACTTTGTTGCTCCATTCCTTACTCTCTTCTTAAACCTTAAGTATGTTAATTTACTTTTCTAAGCCTGTTTCTCTAAGATTTATAAAATGAGAATAAAGTCACACACCTCTAAAGTTTGTGAAGATTAAATAAGATAATGCATGAACATGCTGGCAGTGTCTGGCACCCAGTAAATGTTCAAATCTGATGTCTCCCTTTCCCTCCTGTCCTCTGCCTGCCTACTCGGGGCTCACCGTTGTATTTGGCCTCTGGTTCCTACACCACAGCTGGATGTCATGCAGGTGAGTTTACTATTCTTTCCCTCTCCCCCAAACTACAGTCCATTCACTGAGAGTACCTGGGTGCCAGTGAACCAAGGTCAAACCTGTCCCTCTGAGATACTCACAAGGATCTCTTGGAGAAAAAGCTTTTGGTGTCTTCCTATTCTCATTCTAAAAAGAATGATTTTCCCAGGAGAGGGAGGAATGCTTGTGGAGGGCAATTTTCTGTCCTCTTTCTCCAAGTTGTAGCATCATTTTCTGGTTCTCCCTGGGCCATGCCCTCTTCAGCTGCCAGTTTTGAGACACTGCAGTGTGAAGGACCTGTCAGCACCGAGGAGAGCAGCTGCCACATCGATGAGGACTTGACAAGCCAAAGGGAAGCTGGCTTCCAGGTCAAGGGCTACACTTTCAGTCAACCCTTCCATCTGATCGTGTCCTATGGTGAGGTCCTGGGCAGGCCTGACCAGTGCCCCAAACCCCTCCTGTCAGCCCCACAACCTACTAGGGAAGGTGCCCCCAGAAAACTGGCCATGGGATGAGGTACTTTCTTTCCACATTTTCAGCCCACAGCAACCAGGGTGCCCTTAGTCCTGGGCCCTAGAGAAGATGTTTCACACTCCCAACCAGGGGTGAAAGTTACCTGGACCCTCAGAGAAAGCATACGGGAGTCTGTTGTAGACATAATTGGGGGAGCTCCCAAGGGAGGCAGTGGGTGACACAGTTCTTTCTCTGGGCCACAGACTGGCTGATCATCCAAGGCCCAGCCATGCCAATATTTGAAGGGGACTCCTTGGTTCTGCGCTGCCAGGCCTGGCAAGACTGGCCACTGACTCAGGTCACCTTCTACCGAGATGGCTCAGCCCTGGGTCCCCCTGGACCTAACAGAGAATTCTCCATCGCTGTGGTGCAACAGGTAGACAGTGGGCACTATCACTGCAGTGCCATCTTCAGGAGCCCTGGTCCCGGGAGCCCGGAAACAGCATCCACTGTGGCTATCACAGTCCAAGGTGAGAGCTAGAGGTGGTGTTGTCATGGTGGAGGAGGGTGGGGAGAGAGGGGGAGCCCCAAATTGTCTTTCTTTGGCCTGGAGGTGGAAGATCATTGAAGCCTTAAGGAGCATGTTGCTGGCAAATGCCCAAGCTGGGTGAGACCTCAACATTGCCTTTTCAAGTCATTCAGCCCCACTCCAAGTCCAGCAGGTTTCCTACCACCCAGATCTATGCTTCCCTGGGTTCAATGATTGGTGTTTATAGACGATTGTCAGATCTGCCCATTGCTGGACCTTTTCCAGTCCTGTCTACTTGAAGAGAGACAGAACTTGAATGGTTCAGATGGAACCCTTCTAAGAGAGCCCATTCCTGATGGAAACATGGGAGAGGAAGTGTGACTGGGGGGCCTCTCAGATTGCCTCTCACGTGTCTGTCTGAATATAGGATGGCTGAGCACTTCTTTCTTGCCTATCTTTCCCCCAGAACTGTTTCTAGCCCCAGTTCTCAGAGCCACACCTTCAGCTGAGCCCCAAGGGGGAGGCCCAGTGACCCTGAGCTGTCAGACAAAGCTGCCCCTGCAGAGGTCAGCTGCCCGCCTCCTCTTCTCCTTCTACAAGGATGGAAGGACAGTGAGAAGCCGGGGCTTCTCCCCAGAGTTCCAGATCCCCACGGCTTCAGAAGAGCACTCTGGGTCATACTGGTGTGAGGCAGCCACTGAGGACAATCAAGTTTGGAAACAGAGCCCCCAGCTAGAGATCAGGGTGCTGGGTGAGTTAGTATATAATGTGTCTGTTTGGTGTTTGTGTGAAAAGGGGGGAAAGGATGAATGGGGTCGAAGAGCAGGGGTTCAGTGTGGGCAGGTTAAGAAGGGACACTGAGGAGGCAGGAACAATAAGTGAGAGTCTCTAATGATGGAAGAGAGCACAAACAGAGAACTCCTCCTTCAGACAGGGACCTGAGCCAGCTCCACACTTGCTGCCCCATAGATCTTAGCATCCCTACATCATCTCTGGGCATTTGTAGGAATATAATGTCTAGAATGAGGATGAGGTGGTCTGGAGTCTATGTGCAATTATGGGAGCCACCATTAAGAAGGCTGCACTGGACCTGAAATACTCCCAGAGGAGGTGTCTGGGGTGGCGAGGCACCTTGAACCCATGTCATATGAAAAACAATGGAAAGGACCAGGTGTGGTGGCTCATGCTTCTAATCCTAGCACTGTGGGAGGCTGAGGCGGGTGGATTGTTTGAGCTCAGGAGTTCGAAACCAGCCTAAGCAAGAGTGAGAACCTGTCTCAAAATAGAAAAATTAGCTGGATGTGGTGGTACATGCCTGTTGTCCCAGCTACTCGGAAGGCTGAGGCAGGAGGATCACTTGAGCCCAGGAGTTTGAGGTTGCAGTGAGCTATAATGATGCTTCTGCACTCTATGCAGGGAGACAGAGTGAAACCCTGTCTCAAAATAATAATAATAATAATAATAATGGAAAGGACTAGAGATGCTTATTCTGAGGAAGAGGTGACTCAGGGGGCCAGCAGAGGTGTCCTCAAAAAGCTGAAGACTGGCACAAGGACGAAGAATTAGACTAATGTCATGTACAATAAGAGCTTGACCTAGACCCAGTTACCGCATCCATGCTTTGGGAAATTAGATTCTGTTTGATAAAGGAGGAACTGGCTCATAGTCACAGCTGTGTAATGGTGAGGTTTCATTGCTGAAGATTTTCAAGCAGAGGTAGGCAAGCTTCCGATTAAAATTTGGATCAGGAGGGACCCTAGAGTCCTCAAGTCCCTGTTGCCATTGGGCCCCACAGCCACTTTCAGAGAATAAGAAAGATTGACCAGGGATATGAAGGTAGGCCAGAGTCAGGTTTCACTCTCGTGTATGCCTCCTGCCCCATAATCCAGGTCCCGCCAGCTCTGCTGCATCTCCCACCTTGAATCCAGCTCCACAGAAATCAGCCGCTCCAGGAACTACTTCAATTATGGAGCCCCCTGGGCCGCCGCCTCTGCTGCCCACTCCTTCTTCTGAGGATCCAGACTTCTCTTCTCCTAAGGGGGTGCCAGACCCCCACCTGCATCACCAAATGGACGTTCTTCTCAAACACATGCAGGATGTGAGAGCTCTCCTGGGCCACCTGGTCATGGAGCTGAGGGAATTGTCTGGCCACCGGAAGCCTGGGACCACAGAGGCTCCTGCCAAAGAGAAGTAAACAATTCACCCATGATATTGCTCAATCACCCCAATAAGTCCAATTCTTTCTATTTTTTCTCTTCCTGGCCTGCACATATGCATAAATAGTTTTCCAAGTTGTCCCAGTGTTTTGTTAGAATAATGGAGATAGGTGAGTCAAATAAGTTGTGTAAAGTGATAACTGGAGTTTAGCTACAATTGTGTATTCTCTTTCAACCTGACAACATAAGTCTGCTCTCTCTAGACCAGGAATTTCCTTCTGTTGTCCAGACCAGAATCTGGTGATTTAAAGAGAAGCAATGGAGGTGGATTTAATGCAGCAGTCTCAAGTGGGGGTAATTTTGCCCCCCAGGGGACATTTGGCAACATCTGGAGACATTTTGGTCATCATACTGGGGATGGGGATGTGTGTGCTACTGGCATCTAGTAAGTAGAAGCCAGCGATGCTGCTAAACATCTTATAATGCATGGGACATCCTCCAAAACAAAAGATTATCTGGCCCAAAATGTCAATGGTGCTGAGGTTGAGAAACCCTAGCCTAATGAAACCCTAGGTGTTGGACTCTGGGTGAGCCTTTGCCCCTTCCAATTATTATCTTCCAGCCTCATGCAGCAAGTCTTATTTATATGCTAGTATTATATTTAGTTGTGCTATGGTCTGAATGTTTGTGTATTCCCCAAATTCATATGAAATCCTAATTTCCACGGTGATGATATTAGGAAGTGGACCTTCAGGATGTGATTAGATCAATCACAATCCCTTGTGATTGGGATTACTGCCATTATATATGTATTAAAAAAAGCCCCAGTGAGCTAACTCACCTTCCCACCATATGAGGACACAGCAAGAAGGTGCCATCTATGAACCAGAAAGCGAGAGCTCACCCAACACTGAATATGCTGGCATCTTGATCTTGAACTTTCCAGCCTCCAGATTTATGAGAAATAAATTTCTAATGTTTATAAGCTACACCGTTTATGGTATTTTGTTATAGAGCCTAAACAGACTGCTACATGTCTGAGTTTATGCTGTGTTAAGAATACTCATAAGACGGTGTCTCTGTCTACAGAGGGCTTAGACTTTGGGAATGAGGGGCAGTAATACCTCTACCCATAACACAAGTAAAGCAGGGTATATAAAAATTTACCATAATATCCTACAGAGCTTAGAAATATGTGATTAAATATAATATTGCCAGAACAGCAAAAATTTGTTTTAATCCATTTGTGTCTGAAATATTTTTTCCTTAATAACATATATGACTGTATTTTAATTCCCTATTAATAATTTTTTCTGTGCTTGGACTGCTACTGTACGTTCTCAGCCAATGAGAGCCAGCCTGGCAGACTCCGCTTAGGTCAGTGAGTTAGCACAGCACTTTATAATGACCTTAGCCAATGGGTGTTCTACCATGTTATACTGAATCTCATGGTGTGATGTTCTCCACTGTGGCCTTTCTTTGTGCCATTTATTCTGTGCAGCTTTGACCCACAATGTTTAACATAGATGTGTACATGATCATTCTAGACATGCCACAAAGAAACAAGGAAATAGATTGTACTGATGGTTAAAGGAGAGTTTTATGGTGGTTCCTCGCACCTTCAAGGGGAAGGATCAGGAGGCAGATGGGAATTGATAGAGGTCTGTAAATATCACCATAGCCTGAGAGGACTGATTAACAACTGTATGAATGGGAGTTGAAAGAAATGACCAGAGATATGTCATGACTTTGGATTTGAAAAATGGAAACTCAATTGCCAATGTACCATGCTGGACGTGTCTACAAAGATATGTTATAACCATCCTACATGGAGTTGATTTCAGTTAATGCTTCCGTTTTCATGAATGCATCTTGTAAACTCCTGCTAAATAGGGAATTCATTTGCAGATAGTGAAAGCTATCAGAGATCAGGGAAGAAAAAAATGGTTGCAGCTGGCTGAGATAAATGTCACCTCTGTTCTCCTCATCCTTGTGTATGTGTACACCTCTATCATTACACCGTATTTTAATTTTTTATTATCTTATTTCAATTCACCAGAGTGTGAGCTCTTTGAGAGTATTCCTTGAGCTCTTTGTTCTGCATCGTCTCAATGATGTCTACTTTAATGAGGCATATATAAGCCCTCGGCAAATTGTGTTTAATTGAATTGAGTTGGGGTAGCATAATAAGGGAAAGCATCTTGAAGAAGATGGGAATGAAGCTGGACCTTAAAGGATAAGTGCTGTGCTTGGCATCATCAAAAGCTCCTGATTCTGTCCAGGGGACCCAGCCTAGGCCAAAGACCTAGAAGCCTCAGAGGGAAGATTTCCCACCATCAGGGATGAGAATGGCAAGAACAGAGCAGAGAGAGAGAGAGAGAGAGAGAGAGAGAGTTTAGCTATCTCCTTCTGTCTAGCCGGGAGAGGTTGGGAGAGAGGGCCGGGAAGAGGAGTTGTTACACTGGGTCTGGTTTATGGCCTGTACAGTTTAGAATTCTGTAACCAGCAGATGTCCCAATACAGCTATGTTCGATGTCTCAGAAATTAACTTTAGATAGCAAGCACATCAAAGGAAAAACTGTTTTCTACTCACAACACTTCTGACACCAAATGTGTGAGTTTTCCACACCAAGCAATTCTCCGCGGAAAATAACTGGATGTTCTACAATATGTCAATGATGACTCTAACTACCCAGAGTTAGCAAAGACCCCACAGGTTAAGGGGTCAGTCCCACAAGACTGCTGCCATTTCAGGAACCAATTGCAAGTCCCAGGCTTCTGGTACTTGGGACCAACCAGCTGTAAATCAGGGCTTCCCACAACCCCACCTTGGATTCAATAAGTTGATAGAATGACTCACAGAACTCAGAAAAGCAGTTTACTTAACAGCCAATGGACGATATGCATAAGACCAGGTATGTAGGAAAGGACACGGAGTTTTCATGCCCTCTCTGGGCACGCGACCCTCCCAACATCTCCACGTGTTCACTGACCTGGAAGCTCTTCGAACTCCATCATTTAGGGTTGTTATGGAGGCCTCATTACATAGACATGATCAATTAAATCATTAGCCCTTGGTGACTGACTCAAACTCCAGCCCCTGTCTCCTCTAGCAGGTCAGGGTGTGGGGCTGAAAGTACCAACCCTCTAATTACAGGATTGGTTCCTCTGGCAGCCAGCCATGTTTTCCCAAGAGTCACCTCATTAGCATAAACTCAAGTATTGTTGAAGGAGCTTATTATAAATAACAAAAGATGTTCCTCCCTCCCCTCCCTCTCAGGAAATTCCCAGGGTTTCAGTAGCTCTGTGCCAGGAACCAGGGGCAGAGACCAAATATATATTTCTTACTGTGTTACACACATCCATTATCTTATAAAGTTGAATACTCAACTTGCATACCCTGTAACTCAGAATTCAATGCCTACATATGTAGACCCGAGAGCGAAATTTTAGCATATGTATATTAGAAGACAGGTATAATAATGTTTATAGTGGCAATGTTTGTAAAAGCAAAAATTTGAAGTCACCTCAGATGTCCATCAGCAGAAAAATGGATAAATTGTGCTATTTTCACATTTTCACAGAGTAGAATATTATGTAACAGTAAAAATGAATAATCCATAGCTATGAAGCAGCAATATAAACAGAAATCAGAAATATAATATCTAGTGAAAAAAGGAAGTCCCAGGAGATATCATATAATATTATACAATGTTTAAAAACAAAAGAATATATCGTTTAGGCATTCACACATACATATGATAAAACTTTTTTTTTAAAGGCACAGAAATGGAAATACCAATGTCAGGATAGTTGTTACCTTTAAGAGGCTGACTGGGAGATAAGAGTACATTGGTAGATATAAGTTACTAATAATTTTTTTAGCTTCTCTGATAGGCACTTAGAGCTCCTTTAAAATAAATAAATAAATATATACGTGCATACATTTAAGTACTTTTTCTCACTTTAAAAAAATTTTTTTGTCTCAGTGATGGGGTCTCCCTATGTCACCCAGGCTGGAGAGCAGTGGTAGGACCACAGCACACTACAACCTTGAACTTCTGGTCTCAAATGATCCCCCTGCTTCAGCCTCCTGAGTAGTGGGATTACAGGCATGGGCCACCATGCCCGGCAAAAAAAAGAAAAAAATACGCACACACACACACACATTTCTCTAAATCATCTTTAAATCCCTTTGTGTTTTCTGTCTTTACCTTCTAGAGGTAATAGAAGCCAAGTTTATTACCTGCAATTTGGAGTAGTTCTTTCCCTTATTGTATCAGTATTTACTATCTTGTCCTTTACATTTTCTTTATATTAAGTAACCACGCCAACCTGTTAAAGACTGCTCCCAGTGTACTCCTAGTATCAATCAATTTGGTGAGTGCTTGTTTTTTATATTAAAGTCACTACTATATATGTCTTATACATTTCCTCCAACATTAGCCAGATCAGATAAGATAGCTAATCTTTTCAGTACTAAAGCACCTTCATTTAACTTGACATTTATATACAAAGTACTGTGCAAGGTGTTACAAGGAAAAAAGAAGATAAATTTAACATGATCTCAGCTCTCGAAGGAGGTCACACTTTCCTGGAAAAGACAGACAAGTATACCAATAATACACAGAAGTACATTTTAGTTGCCTTCCCTGTCAACATCCCTAATTCCATTATATCCCTGAGATATGGAAACCCCAGAGGTATCTTGGGCACAAATGCATTATTGTATTAGTTAAGCATAGCATGAGTATCTTCTTTTCAAAACCCTTCTTGACGATGATGAAGAATTTGTTGGACTCTTTAGATAGATCAGCAGTTCTCAAACTTTTTGGTCTTAGGATCCCTCTACACTTTAAAAATTATCGAGGATCCTAAAGACCTTATGTTTATGTGATTTATATCTGTTGAAAGTTTCCATGTTAGAAATTGAAACTGAGAAACACTTAAAATATTTATTAACTCACTTAACAATTATAAACCAATTATACTTTAACATAAATAAATTATTTTTATAAAGAATAACTATGTTTCAAAA